GATCATAGTCCATCACTGGAGGAAGTCAGGACAGGAACTCAAGCATGGCAGGAGCCTGGAGGCAGGAGCTGATGCAGAGGCTGTGGAGGGAGCTGCTAGTACTGACTTGTTCAACATGCTTGCTCAGCCCACTTTCTTATAGCACCCAGGGCCACCAGTTCAGGGATGGCACCACTCACAATGGGCTGGGCCCTCCTTCATCAATCACTAAGAAAATGTCCTACATTTGGATCCTAAAGAGGCATTTTCTCAATTGAGGATCCCTCCTTTTAGATAACTTCAGCTTTGTCAAACTGATATAAGACACACATAAGCCAGCACATCATTGTTTATTTGGTTTGGTTTATAGAGATGTGTATCCCAGGCTGGCCTTACATCAATCCTCCTGCCTTAGACTCCTCCGACATTACAGGAGTAAGTCACCATTCCTGGTTTAGGCTTACATTATTGTGTTAGAGTACAAAGTCTTAGAGATAGGGAGATAGCTCCGTCAGTGAAGTGACGAGTTCAATCCTAGCACCCATATTCAAAAACCAAGGTGCCAGGAATAGTGTGGCACATGGCTTTAACGTCAAGACTGGAGAGCCTGAGGCAGGCAGATCTCTATGCATTCCAGGCCAGCCTGATCTACACAGGGTTTCAGGCCAGCTAGAGCTACATAGACCTGGACTCAGAAAACAAATAAACAAACAATAATAACAAAAAAAGTGCAACATACTGGCATGCATTTATAATCCCAACACTGGGCCAGGCTGTGGTGGTATACACCTTTAATCCCATTAGTCAGGAGGCAGAATCAGGCAGAGCTATGTGAGTTCAGGGCCAGCCTTGGTCTATAGTTCTAGGAGAATCAAGGCTACACAAAGAAACCCTGTCTTGAAAAACAACAACAACAACAACAACAACAGCAACAGTAATCCCAGCACTACGATGACAAGAATCAGCCAGATTCCTTTGACTTTCTGGCCAGCCAGCCTAGCCTACTTGGTTAGGTCAAAACCAGAGAGATGGGCTGGAGGATGGATGGTACAGACGTTAAGAGCACTGGCTGTTCTTCCCAGCAACCACATGGTGGCTAATGAGAGATCTGGTGTCCACTTCTGGCAAAACACTGTGTACATAATAAATAAATAAATACATCTTTAAAATAAAAGAGCAGTGAGAGATTCTGTCTCAAATAAAAAGTGGACCACCCCTAAGAAATAAACCCCAAGGTTGACATCTGACTTCCATATGTATCTACATACATGTGTACCCACAGAGCATGAAGTCTTGGGTTTGTGCAATGGCGGCCATTTCTCATGGTTTTGTTTTTCTGTTTTCTGTTGCCTCACAAACAGTAAGCACTAAGCATGATTTTTTTAATTACTTATTTATTTATTTGATTTTTTTTTCAAAATAGGGGCTCTCTGTGTAACTGCCTTAGCTATCCTGGAACTAGCTCTTGTAGACCAGACTGGTCTCACAGAGATCCACCTGCCTCTGCCTCCTGAGTGCTGAGATTCAAAGCATATGCCACCACCACCCAGCGTATTGTTTTATTTGCATTGGTGTTTTGTCTGCATGGATGACTGTATGAGGGTGTCAGACCTTAGAGTTACAGAAAGCTGTTGCTAGCTGCCATGTGGGTGCTGAAAATTGAACCTAGTTCTTCTGAAAGAGTGGTTAGTGCTCTTAACTGCTGAGCCATTTCTCCAGCCCCCAGAGTATGATTTTTTGTTTTGTTGTAGTTGCTTGGTTTTTCGAGACCAAGTTTCTCTGTGTAGTCCTGGCTGTCCTGGAATTTTATTTGTACACTAGGCTGGTCTCGAACTTACAGAGATCACTTGCCTCTGCCTCCTGATAATGCCCTATTATGTCCTACTATAAGTATGTTTTTACACAATTGTCCATTGCTGTTTTTGTAAATTAAATTATTTTGAATAGATACATAAAAACATAAAAATTTTGCCAGGTGGTGATGTTGTATATGTCTTTAATCCCAGCACTCTGAAGGCAGAGGCAGGCAGATCTCTGTGGGTTTGAGCCCAGTCTGGTCTACAGTGCAAATTCCAGGACAGCCAAGGCTACACAGAGAAACCCATCTCAAAAAAAAAAAAAAAAGACAAAATAACAACAAAACTATAGGTACTTATGGAGTGCCATGTGATGGTTAAATACATCTATACATTGTGCTGAGATAGCAGTTTTTAATTTTATTTTTATTCTATATATGGGTATTTTACCTGCATGTATGTCTATGCATCATATGCATGCTTGGTGCCTGTGGACGCCAGAAAAGGGCAATGAACCTCCTGGAGCTGCCATTACAGATGGTTGTGAGCCGCCACGTGGGTGCTTTGAATCGAACCCCAGTCCTTTGGGAAACAACACGCGCTCTTAACCATTGAGCCCACTCTCCATCCAGACAATAATTTTTTTGTTTGTTTGTTTTTCAAGACAGGGTTTCTCTACAGAGTTCACTCTGTAGACCAGGCTGGTCTTGAATTCACAGAGATCCGCCTGCTTCTGCCTCCCGAGTACTGCGATTAAAGGTGTGTGCCACCACTGCCTGGCTGGCAATAATTTCTAAAGTCTTAAAAATTAGCAAATAAATGCAATGGCAGCCGGTGATGTGGTTCATCAGGTAAAGGAGCTAGCCCCAATCCTGGAATCCACACAAAGGAAAAAGAGAGTTAACTCTCAGAAATTGTCCTTCAACCTCCACATGCACACAAGTTTTGGCACCATTGTATACACATTCACACACAGACACGTAATGTAAAAATGTTTTTAAAATATCCATTATGATCTTATTCAAAAACATGTCAAGGGGCTGGAAATTTAGTCCTTGGAAGTATGTGGGAATACAGTGTCTGCCTCATATATCAAGGCCCTCCATCTAATTCCCAGCACTGTAAACAACAACAACGTGCCAAATTACCTTTACTCAACTGGTTTTGAGAGTGATGGCGTTTGGCAAATCTTTCAGGCCAGTTATGATTGCCAGAAAGAAAATAACCAAATCCTTGTTCAAAGGTCTTTTTAAATGATAGATATCTAGTTGCTCAATACACTGTCCCTTACGGAATACATCTCAGAACTCAAGACCTGGTAGCTTCTAACGCCTCTAAGAATGTGCCTCAATCAACACATTGTCCACCTAGCTAAGGGACAGCTTCCTGGAATTAAGAAGGCAAAACCAAGGTTATAATTAACTCAGACTTCCTCCTCCTCTTGTACCTTGGCTATGACCTTAATCCTCACCTAGATTTTCCATCCCATCTATGGATAAAATTTTGTTCTGAATTAGATCTACTGAGCTGTGGTCCTGTTAGCCTTAGAGAATTGGCTGGATAACTGCAGGTAATATTAAACCACACATTTAGACTGAAGCATGACTTTTATAAACAGACATCTCGTTTAGGGATAATACTGTCAGTTTTATTCCCCCGCCCCAGTTTTTTTTTTTTTACTTGTATTAAAAACAAAGCAAACATTACTTGGTAAGGATAGATCAAACAAACTTTTTCAAGGTAATTTAGAGCAAACAGAATGTTTCCATTTCCTGGAACCACGGCAATGACAGCATAAAGGAAGAATGAGCAGGGATGATAAAATGGGTGTGACTCTGAAAATGAGCAATTTCCAGCTGGATGATTTAAAGTCAGATTTATATGATGATTAATGAGCCCACTCAAAGTCCTATCCTATGTGACCTTTACAACTTTATTTATTTATTTGGTTTTTTGAGACAGGATTTCTTTGTGTAGCTCTGACTGTCCTGGAACTAGCTCTTTAGACCGGACTGACCTTGACCTCACAGAGATTCGCCTGTTTCTGCTTTACAAGTGTTGGGATTAAAGGGATGCACCACTACTGCCTGGAAACTTTTTAAAAAAATATTTATTTAATTGTATGTCTGTATGTCTGTGTGTAAACATGAGAGTGGGTGGCCGGAGAGGACAGAAGCATCAGATGCCCCTGGAGTTGCAGGTAGTTGTGATTTACAGGCAGCTGTGAGCTGCCCTGCACAAGTGCTGGGAACTGAGCCCAGGTTCTCTGCAAGGGCAATATATACTCTTAACTGCAGAGTCTTCTCTCCAGCCTCAGGCCTCACAACGCAGGAGATGAAGTTGCCAGATTAAAGGATATAATGAGGAATTTTATTTATTTATTTATTTATTTATTATTTTATGCATATGGACATTTTGCCTGCATATATCTTTGTGTATTACACATGTGCCTGGAGCCTACGAAGGCCAGAAGAAGGCTTGGATTCCCTAGAACTGGAGTTACGGACAGCTGTTAGCAGTCTCAACCCCTGAGCCATTTTCAGCCCCTATTTATTTAGTTATTGAAACAGGGTTTCATTCTAGATTGGCCTAGAACTTATTATGCAGTTAAGGCTGACCTCAAACTCCCTACCTTGCTCCCACATCAAAGTGCTAGGGTTACACGCATGAGCCATCTTGCCTGGTCTGAAAGAAGAAAAGGAAGTATCTCACCTGCTGCTATCCAGAGAAACAGAGGACAGAGATCAGAAGTTGATTCTCTACTTCTACTGTGTGTTCTGGGATGAGATTCTAGTTCCTTTAGGGTTGCATGGCAAGTGCCTTTACCACGGAGACACCTTGCCAGCCTGTGCTCTGAAGTTTTATAAGACATACTTCCTAGCAAGATATAAGGTGTGTGCTTATAATCTCAGTACTTGGGAGACTAAGGCAAGAGGATCGATATGAATTCAAGGTCAGTCTGAGCTACAGAGTGAATTTTAAGCCAGCCAACAAAACCTATAATGTGAGATTCTGTGTCAAAGAACCAAAATAATTACTAATAATAAAAAAGCACGTTTCTAGATTGTTTTCCCTCTGCCAGGGATTGAACCTAGGACCTCACGCTTGCCTGCCAAGTGTTCTAATACTGAGACACACCCCCCCCCCCCCAGTGATAATTGAAAGCCGTCTAAAACTGTGCTCTGAGCATCTTTGAGTCCAGGCATGTATCACACGGTGGTGGAGCTACAACAATGGTTAGATGCCACAAAGCACTTGGCAATACCTTAATTGTATGTGTGTTATTAAACCCAAGGACCCAGGGGCTTCTTCTGTCTTTATCAGGAGGGCGGAACTTCTCTCCATCATACGACACAGCTCCGTTTCCTATCTCTAAGAGTCCAGTGGAGGAGTTAACAAAATAAGCACTCACAAGCCATACAAGCGCAAGGTGCGGTGAGGTCAGCAGCAGGCGTCTAGACTGCGTGTGAGGGACCCCCCAGGAGAGGCTGAGCAAGGCTGGGGTGTAGAGGGTGATACTGAACTAGAAGCCAGCCAAGGGCATGAGGAGGGGAAGATGGGTACATTAGACAAAGCAGGATCAGACGGCTCTGAGCAGCTACATGGGATGAATTCAGCAAGGCAGGGCCACAGAAGGCAAAGGGTGAAGGAGACTTAGAGTCAGTGGAGGATCTTGAAAAGGCTAAGCTTACTAAAGTATTTTAAAGGACCGCAGTCAGAGTTCCATCCTGAGAAGTTCAGCATCAGAGCACAATGCTGAGAAATCTATGGAGAACAGCAGTACATGGCAGGGTGCTTAGGAGAGGGAACACAAGCGGCAAACCAGAGCAAAGAGGCTTTCAGCACAAGGGCATACTAGAGAAGATACTCAACAAAGCATTAGGTAGGTGTGTCTGAAATTCAGAATGGTGTTTAGTGCTAGATGCACAGTTTGGGGAGTAGGCAGGACTGCTTAGGAAGGAATCCCAAGTCAAGTGAGCACATGGGTGTTTACCTATATCTTCAGCATCTACAGCCTTCCAGGTAGCAGAATTTGGGGTTTGAATTAACAGACAAACTAATGAAAATAGAGGCAGTCTAAGAATATGGCTCTGAGAAACCGTCATTTAGAGATGGAGAGATGTGGTGATACTTTGTGCTCTAACAAATAAAGCTTGCCTGAAGATCAGAGGGCGAAGCTAGACACTAGTTAACCATAGAGGTCTTGAGGTCTGTACTGACAGACAGATAGAAAGTGATATGGCTGGGTAGAGAAAGGATTATAAGGTGGGAGGAGACAGGAGCTCAGTCCTTTTTCTGGCTGAGGTGTTAGCAAGGTAAGAGTTGGTTGTGACTTACTCCTTTTTCTCTCTGATCTGGCTCTGGGTTTTTATTATTAAAGACCAATGATAACTTATGCAACAGAGAGAGGCAAGGATCTCAGATGGAAAGGTCAGGGACCTGAGGACTGAGACTGACCCCACGGCCAATCTGGTGGAAAGATAGAATCAAATCCCAGAAGCTGTCCTCTGAACAATACACATACACTTACACATGTGTGTGCAAGCACACACACACACACACACACACAACTGAATATAAAGATAGGAAAGTCGTCATTGTCTGAGCTTGCCATGGTAGTTTACATCTATAATCCCAGCACTTGGGAAACTGAGACAAAAGGATCATGAATCTGAGGCTATTCTGGGCCACATAGCAAGTACAAGGTCAGCCTAGGCTCTAGGCCCTGTCTCTAAAGACCAAAGTAAATACATAACACAATAGAAAAGAAAATCCCTGGTCTCTGGTGGCCATGATTTCTGCAGAGGTGGCAGTCAGATAATAGTGGCTTGGGGAGTGGAAGGCTGAGAGAGAGTGGAGACTGTGAATTACAGTTCACCGTTTCCAGAACTTGACCTTATGTACACCAAGCCATTTTTTCCCTTTTTGGTGTTCGTTTGTCTTCTTTTGTTTTGAGACAGGGTCTTGCTCTGTAGCCCAAGCTAACTTTGAACTCATTATGTAACCTAGATTGGTCTCGAACTCCTGGTCCTCCTGTCTCTGTCTCTCTAGGGTTGAGATTACAGATGTGTTACCACATCTAGCCTTTCCCTTTTCTTCAGTCCTCCTTAAGTTGATAAACTCAATCCTCCCCGTCTTTAAATTTCTTTTTTAAAAAAATCAAAATATGTTCTTTTATTCTCATACTAATGACCTTTCTTTCCTCTTTGCTAGTAAACGGAAGTGTATAAAAATATCACCAATCTTCTATCTTCTGTTGGTTCTGTTAATACTTTCCTTTTACCTGTTTTCTGATCTAGGCAGCCTGATAAATTCTCTCTCTCTCTCTCTCTCTCTCTCTCTCTCTCTCTCTCTCTCACACACACACACACACACACACACACACACACACACACACAGACACACACACACTTCTTTTATTCAGGTTCTTTAGATGCTTGAACCTTTGAATATATTTTATTTTATGGACAGGAGTGTTATGTCTCCTTGTATGTATGTGCACCACCTGGGTGTGTGGTGCCCATGGAGACCAGAAGAGGGCATCGGATGTCCTGGAAGCTTTGCTGGGAACTGAAGAGCAAGTGCTCTTAACTGCTGATCCATCTCTCCAACTCACACTAACTCATTTCTTTTTGTTTGTCTTAGTGTTTGTTTTGCCAAGGTTTCTCTGTGTAGCCCTGGCTGCACTGGAACTCTCTCTGTAGACCAAGCTGTCCTCAAACTACAAAGATCCGCCTGCTTCTGTTCCCTGAGTGCTGGGATTAAAGGCATATGCCACCTGCCATTACCACCAGTACATTTTTTAAATTTGTTTTTCAAGACAGGGTTTTTTTGGTAGTCCTGGCTGTCCTAGAAGTAGCTCTGTAGAAACTGGCCTCGAACTCACAGAGATCTGCCTGTCTCTGCCTCTCAAGCGCTGGGACTAAAGGTGTGTGCCACCATCACTGGGCTTATCACTCCCTACATTTAATACTTCAACAAGACTTATTCTAACTTCAAGGATCTTCTGCATCTAGAGCCAGTTGAGATGGCTCTGCAGGAAAAGGTCCTTACTACCATGCTTGACGACCTGAATTCAAACCCTGGGACCCATGGTGGAAGGAAGGAACTGAGTCCTCAAAGTTATTCTCTAACCTCCTCATTCCCATGGTGGAATGGATATACACATATAAATAAATAAACAAATAAATGTAAAATAAAAATAGGGATAGAGAGATATTTTTGGTTTTGCTTCATGGTTTTATGTGTTCTTTAGTGTTCTTTTTTTAATATTTATTTATTTATTATGTATACGATATTCTGTCTTTGTGTAAGTCTGCAAACCAGAAGAGGGTACCAGACCTCATTACAGATGATTTTGAGTCACCATGTGGTTGCTGGGAATTGAACTCAGGACCTTTGGAAGAGCAGGCAATGCTCTTAACCACTGAGCCATCTCTCCAGCCCCCTTCTTTAGTGTTCTTGAAGAATCTGGGAATCAAACCCATGGCCTGACACGTTAGGCAAATGCTTTACTGAGCTGCACCCACCACCCCTCTCTTTGATGATTCTTTTTATTGTTTTTAGATTTTGTGCATATATGTGTGCTTATTTGTGTGTGGATGCACATATGTACGTGTCTGCACATGCATGTGGAGTCCAGAGAAGACAGTCAGGTGCCCTTTATTAAGTACCATCTACTTCTCCCACCATAGGTTTTTCCACTCACCTAGAAGTTGACAATTAGATTAGGCTGGTGAGCCAGGGAATGCTAGGAACCTACTTCTCCTCACTCCCCAGTGCTAGGATCACAAGCAGGCAGCCTAGAGATGGAGCTCAGGTCCTCGTGTTTGTGTGACAAAACAAAAAAAAGCCCTTTACCAACTACTTCCCCTGTACCCCCTTTTCCGGAGTGTTCTTGGATTGGGGGACTTATTACATAACTGTCCCTGGCCTGAAACTCAGTGTGTAGACCAGTGTTATGCAACAGTTTTCTTTGAGGTTGAAACATTCTGGGCAGGATCTTTAAACAGAAAGCTAAACAACTCAAAATATCTCCAGGAAGTCCCTGAAACCGACCAGATTCATTAGCCTGGTTCCCGCCAGAGTAAGTAATAAAAGCTGAGAGTCTGCCTCAGACTACAAAGAAGACTCAGATTCGATCAGCCGCTTAGAAGAAGCAAAGATCAGATGAGCTGCTTGGAGGAAGTTTAGACCCACTGAGGCACCTGGAAAGGACCTCTCCAACCTGTTGAGCTGCCTGCAGCCTGCACGGTGTGTTCCAGGTTCCCAGCCTTTGTGAGCTGTCACCCGTGCTGTAGTGGGCTTTGCATTTCTGCTCCTGTAAGTAACCCAGCACCCATATTCCTGTAAGTAACCCTAATAAAGCTCATTGGTTCACCAAGTTGGGCCTTGGTGATATTTGTACTTGGATCTATTGCGGGATTTCTACCTGGGGTGAGGGTAGACATGTGTGTTGAGTCTCCTCAGGAAAAGATTTGCACCCAACAGCCAGGCTGGCCTCCAAATTAGGGCCGTCCTCTCACCTCTACTAAATTCTGAGATCACAGGCATGTGCCACCATGCCCAGTTTATCTCCGTGCAAGGGATTGAATCCAGGGTTTCAAGCATGCCAGGGAAGTAGTCTGCCAACTGAGTACCTCTGTGGTGGGATTTCAGTCCACTGAGCCAATGGCTTTTGGGGGATTACAAACCCTAAGGTGCATTCTTGTCTGTGGAGGTGACAATTTATAAACTGAGGGAAAGAGCCTCTCTCTCTTGCTCTCACGCTCTCCTGGGTGGTCAGAGCAGAGCATGCGGTTGGCACTTATCACCCCTGGACAGAATGAGTAGACAATGCAGCTGGATCAGCGGCAGCATCTAATTGGTTCTATCTCCGTGAGTGTTTTCCCCTATTTTATACCCAAATAGAGTCTCGAGAACCTTTACCGGACTCCCGTGGATTAAAGCCACAAGCCTCTTCTAGCCCTTTTGTCTATTCCTGACAGCAGACAGAATGATCCTTCAAATGTTGAGGCATGTGTTATCAACCTTCTCCTCAGAACCCTCCAATGGCTTCTCACTTAATTTTATGCCTCTGCAAAATCTAAAACCACCACCACCTCTCTCTCAGCCCACCCCACTTCTTATCACTTCTCCTGTCCTTCATCTTACTATGTCCAGTCGCAGGGTCTCTGTTGCCGCCCAACTACTCCCTGAAACATGCTGCCCCTCAGGGCTTCTGTGTATGCTGGGTTATACTTGGACTTCTCTTCTCTGAAACATCATGTGACTCACACTCCCTTTGCCCAAAGCCTGGCCATCCTTACCAACAACTTCTCCCAGCCCTCTAGTGGCTTTGTCTCGCTGACATAG